GAACCAACTCTTTGTTTCATTAATTAACTGCTTTGTTTAATTATTGTGGTTGTTCTTTCAAATTTCTTAATTTCTTCTCTGAAGATGATTATTTTTTTCCATCTGCTGATTTGGGCTTTGGCTTTTTCTTGCTCTTCCAAAGCCATAGGTATACCAATAGCTTATTTATGTGCGTTCACATCCAGGCAGGAGCACATGCAAATCAGGTATCTTTCATAATAGCTTATTCAACTAATTTTTTGAGACAATGTTTCTCAGTCAGACTGGAGCTCATAAATTCAGACTAGCTGGTAATCAAACTGAAATGATTATTTAACTATGTCTCTTTGACACAGGATTACAAGGGCATGCTGCCACGTGTGGATTTTAAGTTTTGCATGGGTGCAAGGGGTCTAAACCCTGGTACTTATGTGTGTGAAGCAAATACTTTATTAACTGAGCCACCTCTTCAATACAAATTCATTGGATATACTTGTCAGGTGAAAATTCTGATGGTTACACAAAAGCCTGCATTCTTCAGGAACTTGTAAAGCTGGTTCCCCTCTACTAAAGCAACCATTTCCTTAACACTGTCAGAAGGGACAAATGGCTATTCGTGGTGCCTATTCGCATACCTCTGGTTCTTGAACATTTTCAGCGCCCATTCTATGATGTTTTCTAAATCTAAGGTACAAGATTTGTGCTGCAGAAAAATTTGATCTTTCAATAGTGTCCCATAGAACTCAAATGGTTTCGTTATATTTTCTCATTATTTTATCTTTGTTGATGTCTTTGGTGTTTCTTTTCATCTGTCTCTGGCATTCTTTCTTTCATACAATCCATTATATTACATATTGAGGCAATCAACTGAATTTATTTTACTTGATTAACTTCTTATTACTAAAATTTCAACTTTATTTTTCTTGCATTTCTGTTTCTTCACCACATTCCAGTTTTGTATGGTATGTTGACCTTCTCATCACACTCAATTCTTTATTTTTACTCTTCCTGAGTTCTTTCTGGATTTTATTTCCCTCCTCTTTTATTAAATATCCTACTAAAATTTTTCATATTTTCTGGATTTTATATCACTCTCACTGTGGACCATTGCTACGATATTTTCCATGGGGAGGAGGTCATATTGACCTTGATTTGTCATCTTTCTTGTTCTATTCCATTGACATTTATGCATTTTTTATTAATTGGGTTTATCAGTTGCTTTATTTCAGTCAATATTTTCAGTATTCAATTGATAGAATTAATATGCATAATTTAGACTTTATATCCCCAGTCATGAACTCAGGGTTCCTGATAAAACCAAATATTTGAATATTATCTGTAGAATCAACCACACTGCTGGATAGAATTCCTATGAAAGTGTCATTCTAGCCAATTAACAGAAGTGATACTTTTAACTCCAATAACTATTGGAGTACTGATACACATGGACAGTATAGTATATACCAAAGAATTACCAAGAATACAAATAAAAGTGATGAGGTCTGGGTAAGGATAGGAATTAGTGTTAGACCAAATGGAGGAAAATTAAGATGAGAAAAAATATCTGGGAGCAGAGCATTGGGATATTGTTATTTTCTATGGCATTATACATTTTTTTTGGTTTCTTGAGACAGGGTTTTTCTGTATTGTTTTGGAAGCTGTCCTGGAACTCACTCTGTAGACCAGGCTTGTCTCAAACGCACAGAGATCTGCCTGCCTCTGCCTTCCGAGTGCTGGGATTAAAGGCGTGCGCCACCAATGCTCAGCTGGCATTATACATTTTTAAAGTTTTGGAGAGCTAAAGTTAGTAATAAAAAGAAGTGGTGGCAGGGAAAACAAAATATAAAAAAGTGGGAATTCGCAAGAAAACAGATGGGTTGTATGTAGGATGAATATCACAGAGTACGTAATAGTACAATGGGTTCAAAAGATACAAAACAATCATACAATCTGAGCAATGTATGACCTAAAGGAAAGCCATTACAAAGTATTTATTCAAGAGTTAAGATTAAAAGATGAAAAGAAAAAATAAAAATTAACAAAAGTTTTAACATTAGCAAAAAATAAGTGTAATAAAAATCCCATCAGTCAATATTTCTTTTATCCTGAGATGGGTTTCCCTTCAAAAGTTTCATAAAGCAAATTGCACTAATAGGTGAGGAACAAATTGTTTGTTATTAGAGCAGAAAGCTGTAAAGCCTGATTTTGTCTATGTGTTGTCCCATAGAGGTTAGCTAATAACACTTTGGATTGAGAATTTGGCACAGCCTCAGTGAGATGAGCAGTGTAGTTCTCAGTTCCTTCCTTGGTACTCTGTGTGGTTTGGCAACATTGTGCTGGAGAAGACAGGTTGCCATTTCTTGCTGTGGGTTCCCATGAACTATAGCTACAGACTGGGTATAAAGAGAGTGTCAATTGCACTATCACCTTTCAATCCCTGGACCCACCCAGCTCTCAGTTTTGTGGCAGGTCTTTCTTCAGGCTGTATCACCATGCTAGTGTATGGGGAAGGAGGTGTAAGCTTTCCTCCTGCAATTCCCACTTAACCTCAACTGGAAGCCGCTGTGAGAACTGAAGCTTTAGTTCCAAGGCCTCATCTCCAATTGCATATCCAGTCCTTAGTTATCAGCTAACTGTTACCGCAGCTCTGCTGAGTGTGTGTTCTGCAAAGGGCTTCCCTGTGGTTTCCAATTACCTCACCAGAGCCAATTTGTGCAGCTAGGCACCAGTTCACAGCCACTTTTGTCTGCTTCCCCACAGAGATCTCACTTGGCTTAATAAGTCCATTTAGAGCTACTGTCTCTTGCAAAAATAAAGATTATCCTGTACTCTCCTGTTTTCTTTCACTGAGTTGCATCATGAGATCTCTAATCTGCCAACTTCCCTAAAAATGCCTATTCTCATTTTTTTGAGGAAAATCCAAGCTATTTTACAACATTCTTACCATAGTGTATAAGATTTATTTTCTACATCTTTAGAAATATTAAAAACAAAATCTTTAGTATTATTTTTATTACCAGTTTCGTTAGGGTGAGGTGTATCCTGTTGCCTTGACTAGCCTTTCCCTGAATAGTGTTGTTGAACATGGTTTCATGTCCCCATTGTTTATTCGCATGTCTTCTTTTGGGAAATGTTGCAATTAAGTGTATCCTACTTAATTTGAAAGAAAGATGGGACCCAGTTGTATCTGATCCCGAATGTATTTCTTAGGTATTCACTGTCACTATACGCTTATGACTGAACAAGTTGCACATACTCTTTGAGTTGTGGTATGCCAGTCCGTAAAATGAGGCTCACAATAGTGTCTTGGCAGGATAGTTGCAAAAACAAACAAAATAACATACTTGAGAGCTATTTATAAAGTACAGACTACCAGACAAATATAAATTCATTATATTTAAAGTTTTTCATGAACAGTGTTGCCATATATGTGTTTGTCTGAACTTTCAAGGGTATGGAAGTAAATGGCAGTCAGAGAGGCACTGAGTCAAATGGTTCTTTCATTGCAGTATCCCTTTTATGAGTTTCAGACACCGCTTGACAGATTAACAGAACCCCCTTTCCCCTAAATAAGTGCAGCATTGCAAATATAGATGGTTTTAAAGGTGATAACCATGTACATGATAGGAACATTTGTAAACCATTTATCGTGAAGTCTGATGTGATATTTAAAAGAGATAAATTTGTTGTATTAGATTCTTCCTAATATCCAATATGAGCTACCCTCTAATAGCCTTACCTTGGCCTTTAAAGTACTACTCAACTCTGTAGGCATACTACTGTTAAAACTAGAGATGATACTTACATCCTTTGATAGTCCCTGGCTTTAGTCTCTATTTTTTTAACTTATAAATGGAAGAGGAATTGAGATAAATATTGTCTTTATTTCTTTTACCCAGTGGAACATATTGCTTACTTAAAACCCCCCAGATTTCTAGTGCCCTAAGGAAAAATATGAATATTTCTCATTAAAAACTTCAAGTCCCCGTACTTTCTGACCTACACTTCACTTTCCCTTTCATTGTATATTATGTTTTTGTTTATGAATCAGTTGTGTTAATCTTCTTATTCATGAAACAATGATAATTTGTACTCAGCTTGGGACTGCATTAGCTACATGTTATTCCCAGAAAGCAGTTACTGAGGGAGCTCTTCCCCACCACCCTACATTGAAGTAGCCGTCCACTCTGCATCATGTCAACATAGTTTGGTTCTTGACCCCTCACTGTGTGTGTGTGTGTGTGTGTGTGTGTGTGTGTGTGTGTGTGATTTGTTTCACTGAGGTACCTACAATCAAACTGACCTCTTTGCAAATTCTTGATAAGTAATTGATTAAAGAACGAATAACTGTGTAAAACAAAGCATGAGCACTGTCTTTTTCTAGCCTTTGTAGCAAAATGTAATACCATCTCTAATTGAAGGAGAAACAAGGAATCTGAAGTAAGTGAAAAATAAGAAGTATCTGCCTTCGTCTCATTTTTCATTGCTTTCCTTTTTATTCAAAACTTTACCTTTAATTGGATCATTCTAGGCTCCTGCAGGTTTCCTATCCATGAATTCATTCTTAGACAATTTGCTAAGTAAACCAAATCCTTCAGAACAGAAACCATTTCAGCCTTCTTGGTTCCTCTCTCTTCCAAATTCCCAAACTTGATATTTTGTTTCTAAACCTAATTAAATATTCTTTGCTTTGCTTAACAGATTTCTCTAGTACAAAAGTCTGGACATGTATATTTACATATCTCTTCGTGAGGTACCCAACTATATCATTACACTCTCCCTTGCCTCTGAGTGTGCTAGCCTCACTTCTTGCTTCAACAGTGACTATGATTACATACTATTTGTATCTCATTGTATAAGCTGAATTGAGCTAATAACAGCTGATATTTAATGTATTGCCAATATGGGCCTTTCTCAGATTTTTTTCTTTAAACACACGCATGCACGTACGCACCCAGGTATGCAATACACTTCCAGGTTCCTGAGATATAAAAACAAAAACACTGTTCAGAAGGGTTTACCTTAGAGAGCTCCTGTCCAGGGCCACACTGTTGGCAGGTGACACAGTGCCCCCATTGGTCCTGGTACTCATTTTCTTGACAATCCATGATGAAAAAACTGTGGGTACAAAAAGCAATTACTACTGAGATAAGCAAAAAATAGTTGGTTTCCCTGACAACCACCTGGCTTCTGTGCCTTCTTAACTGTGACTTTTAGTGACAATGGCCAAGGAAACCAACTGAAAACAGCTAAAAGTTTTGCAGTATTGACAATGTGTCCAGAACTCTTCTAAATGCTTCCTATGTGATAATACATTCAATTCTCAAAGAATAGCAGCACAAATTATTATTAATGCCATTTTACAAGTAAGGAAATAAAGGCACAGGGACAAACAAATTTTCAGCTAGTGGTTACACCAGGAGCTTACAGTCAATAGATTGATAAAGACAGGCAGATAGATAATTAAAACAGTTGGATTCTTTCTTTCTAGTGGGCACAATCAAATGTGTGAAAAGCTCTTACGCGTTTACAAAATCACTTTCACACCTATTTTATTTGTAAATACTTTCAATATTTTTCTGACTTAAGCAATGTAGATATTATATTTATTTGTGAATGAAAAAATTGAAACATGATTCTTCTTCACCAAAGGGACTGATTACAATAGCCAGCTTTTGAGAGGATTAAATGTGTTAATTTCCTATAAGTCATCATGAAGGTTTTGAAGAAAGTGTTAAGTATGGAGATAGCCATACACACACACATACATGTTTATTATAACAGTGGATCAAGGAACATATACATGGTGCCTGTGTCTCTAAAATGAAACTCTGATAGGTTTTTTGTCACTCTCAATCTCATTTAAGACTGTATTTCAAGTGGTCTCATTTAAGACTGTATTTCAAGTGGGCTCTCTACACGCTGATAGACCTTAATATATATATCTCATTATAAGAGAGGGCAGTGTGACCACCAATCATCTACACAAAGGTCACCAATAGAAATAAATGTCCTGGCTGGCATTTTTGTTGAAGTATAGTTTTTCCCGTAACTCTTCCTTCCCAGTTCTTTACTCAGTGGAAGGTGTCCTATGAAGTCCACTTTTGGCACAAAATGAATACACTTTCTCTTCTGTTATTTGTCTCAAATTGTCAGTCTCAGAAGGCAAGCATCCCCTCTTCAATATACTTCTCATTGAAGAAAAAAACCTATTAGTAGTCTCATATTCCTCAATGACAAGGAATTCAGCGTTATGGTAGCAAATCCAGCATAGATTATCCAAAGAAAATTTCGCGTGTATAGTTTTCTTTTCAAAAAACAAACAACCAAATAAACAAAACCCCAGAAAAACATTGACAGAGTCCCAAAAGCAAACCTCCTTAGGAGATAAATTCTTAACACAAGCACCTAAAATTTTCATGGAGGCTGCTGGCCATAGAGATATGTGCGTCCCTATTTACAGTTTGGTTTCCAAAGCCAAAACCACCAAATACATTAAATTGCCTGAAGCTGATATGAGATTGCTTTCCAGGAAGGCTTCTTGCCAAATACATATACCTGGACAGAGTCAATAAATAGTTATCAAAACAGTTATCTAAAACATAAATTAAATTGTATTTCAATGGGAGTTTAAATGTAGACAGAAATTTCTGTTTACCGCATGGTCTCACAGCTCTTTGGACCCAAATAAACAAACAGAGACTTATATTAATTATAAACTGTTTGGCAAATGTCTTAGGTTTCTTATTAGTTAGCTCTGTCTTGATCATTAACCCATTTCTATTAAACTATGTATTTCCACCCATAATGCTCCTTTGGTGGCTACATGGCATCTCCCTGGTAGCTCTTCTCTGCCTTCCTCTTCCCAGTATTCCTAGTCTAGTAGCTCCACCTATACATCCTGCCTGGCTACTGGCCAATCAGTACTTATTCACTAACCAATAAGAGAAACATATATTCACAACATACAGAAGGGCATCTTCCATCATTTAAAAACTGTTTTTATTGAAAAAAACCCAAAACCATGTGTTTGCTAGACTGTTGTGAAGAATCCTGGTTATACGGATAAAACTTCCTAATAAGTAATAAATTTCATCACCCATCAATAATGTGATGCCTTATATGAAATCATTTTCTATGAATAATAGTGTCCTACATCAGATGCTAATTTATGCTAAGCATAAGAAAGATTAATTAGGCATTGCAAATACAACTATTCTTAAATATCCTGTCACTGATTCTAACTTCCTACAAAATATTACAGAAAATGGAGTTTTAAGTAAGTCAGCAATGCACAGTCAGACCTATGATTTTTCTAGTAAAGAACTGTTCTTTTGAAATTTAAAGAAAAAAATTATTGAAGAACTGAAAACAACTTCTACAAGATTAACTTTTCCATAAAACTGTAGCTACAAGATGCATTGTATCTATCATGTTAAAATGTTTATTAGACACAAATATAAAAACCATGAAATATGCCACCATTCTTTAACAATTAAGCAAAGATAAAATGCCTAAGGTACAACATGGATGACTTGCAAAGGATGGGCTCTTTAAGCACCATTTAAAAAAAAAACGAGCACAGATGGATAAGTGTTTAGTTATATACACTGAAGTGAACCTTTGGCACTAGGAATCAGAGCATTTTGTCATAGAGCATTAACACATATTATAAAAGTACGTAGTATCAAAAGAACAGGATCACCAGCATTCAAAAGCAGCTTTGTCAACTAGGCAATAAAACACTCTATAGCACGTCTCTCTGTTGTCCATCACTGAATACAATGGTAGAAACTTTGAAATGAAAAGAAAGAAGAAAAGGAGAATTGACTCCTTTTATTTTCTCAGTTTAAAATCAAGCAGAAAACAAACATCAATTCTGTTATATACTAGTGGTCTTCAAAGTACATCATTTGTACATTTGTACACAAGAAGAACTAAGAAACAAACTGTTTATAGAGATCCAAGCACGAGGCACTCACACACACACACACACACACACACACACACAGAGAGAGAGAGAGAGAGAGAGAGAGAGAGAGAGAGAGAGAGAGAGAGAGAGAGAGAGAGAGAGAGAGAGAGAGAGAGAGAGAGAGAGAGAGAGAGAGAGAGAGAGAGAAAGAGAGCAGGCGCTTCAAGCGATACTCAGGAGGGGCCACTTCATAATCGCTGGCACTGAACAAAGTTGCAGAATTCTTTGCCAGGTGCTTGAGGAAATCATGTAGCTAGTTCAGTAATAAAGCAAGGCTATTCTCATCTAGAGGTGTATAGGCCAACATCATTCCAATTCGCACAAATAATCTCAGTAAATGTGGCGCTCCATACACATGAGACACAGGTACATCAGGATGATCTGCAAGAACCTCAGCATACCGTGGTCTCTCAAATTTGTAGAGTAGCTGAATGTCCAGCATTACGTTGAAGTACTCCTTTATCCCTGCCACAACTTCATTAACAGCACACTCCTTATTATCTGTATTTCCTCGAGACTTCTTATAATTCCCATAATCCTCCAAAATGGAATACATATTCTTCTTGGCAGGAAGACAAAAAAGCTGTTTTTGTCTGGTGATCAAGTTCCAGTCATCCACAAGCCATGGTTTCAGCTCTTCAGGGATCTTTAATTTCAACTCTGTTCATGAATGTTTCTTCATTTTCAACAGTTGGATCTACCCGGGCTCTTTTCTAAGACCTAGGAGGCTGAGGTGTCTTACTGGTATGGCCACCATCTCCATTTCTGGGTGTTTTCTGCTTGTTCTTTTTTCTTTTCACTTCAGCATTTTTTCTGTTGCAGACCAGATGTCTTATTTCCTGGAGCAGCCCCTCTTGTCTTTCCCTCTTCATACTGTTCCTGATTGGCCTTTTGAAACTCTCGCTGTTTCTGCAAATTGGTGTCCATATATTTGAGTACTCTGCTTTCTGGAACCCATTCATCTCGATTTTTATTTCAACCACTGTGACGGATAAGGTATTTCACTTGTTTGTCCTTTATGGCAACCTTTATACACTTTCCTTCATAGAGAAGAGGCCCATAAAAGCACAGCACTCTCTGGCACTCCTGGAATTTGGGTTTCAGGTCTTGCTTGGGTGCCATTTATGAGTGATTCACCATCTCCTCCTTCTCCCACCACCCCTGACTACCGCCCCCTACTCTATACTCCACCCGACTTAGCATCAGAAGAGCCTTCGGTAACAGCCAGCTCTACATCCTGGGTGCGATTTAGTAAAGAACTCTTAATGTGCAGCAGGAAGTTAGTAGAGAAATGGTAATCCAATAGAGCTCGATGTTTGTTAGTTTGTGAACACGATTACTTTACTGGCCTGTGATAATTATGTGTGCATCTAGGAAACTTAGATTGTTTCTCTCTCTAATAATGCCTTTCCAGACATTGTATTGTAAACCCTTGTCAAGGAGACTTCAATGTGAATCACAACCCTGCCATTTACTAGGCTTTACAATGGTTTTCTTTTTCACAGCACTATTCATTTCACCATTAAATTTGGTATTTTAAAATTACAAACCCTCCAGAGTTTTTTTTCAAAGAAATAGATGTTCTTACATATGTTAAAGAACCTAATATAGAATTTTGTGCAAGTGTTACTCCATGGTAATTAGTAGGTTTTCTTCTCATTTGCCCTGAGGTTATCACAGACATTTTAGACGTGTGACATGTTCTTCAGGGGAATTGGCCTTTGTCACCCTAGATATTTGTAGGAAAGGAAAGGGTAAAGCACATAAAATAATTTCAGTGGTCACCTTCACCAGGAACATGAGACTTGGGTGTGTTCAGAACATATCCCAACCCACTAATAATGTGAGGCTTAAGAACAGGTTTACTTCAATATATGTAGTATCTAAGTCACCTTGGTTAAACTGAACATTGTATTAGTATTTGTTGAATATCTTTCATCAGCATATTCCTACATAAGAACTCAGTGGACAAGGCCTGGAAATTTTTCTGGTATAATTACTTCTGAAATGGAAGTACAAAGAAAAATATTAGTGATGATATTAGTGACTTTACTGAGTAGCAGATCATTTCCCATAGAATAATCACTCTCATTGTCACATCCTAGTACTGTAACAGATCTCTGACATGGGACCGTGTTCTTTTTAT